GGGTTGTTTTCTGCTGGTTTCTGTATCGGGTCCAAGGTAGTGTACCTTTCTTAGACAGTGAGTTCTTCCAAGGCAAACACTGAGTTGCTGGTCTCTTTATATAGTGCTAGAGAGTGCCTTAGATACTTCAAGGTTTTGCGAAGAGTGTCATAATGAAGAGAGCGTAGTCACACATTTCTCTACGTCAATCTAAACAATCATGTGCCTGAAAATTTGTGTGAAAATGTTTGTGCTGGAAACATTGCTACCTAAAGAAGCCTTGGGTGAATTCCTTGAGGGAATTCACAAATTCCCAAGACTGTTGAATGGTTTTGCACTGTGAGAGTTATTGACTTAGCGGAGATTTGTGTTCTTTGAATCTCATTGTTTTAATGTTAAAGCTTTGAGACTATTTCTTAGCAAAGTATTTTAAAGGCATCTAGGTGCATATAGGTGTATAACTGGTTTATATCACAAAAAATCATCTTGAAAAGAGACTTTCTTTGTAGGTAAAGATTGAGCCAGAAACAACCAAAACACCAAACCACCAGTGCTTTCTCAAAACTAAATGTGAAGTATAAATAGAGAACAAAACAGGAAATAGTGGTTTGCAAAAAAAGAAATACTTGTAGCTGCCAGAAAAAAAGTGGCTTTCCTTACAGTGTAGAATGTGAGTTCAGAGACTGACAGAGAGTCCCTGACTTCACCTCTTAGCAGAGACAAGCATCTTCCAGTAAGCATTGCCTTTAATAATCTTTAAAAATATGAGGATCACCCTGTATGCCATAGGCACTGACTAAGGAAGTATGTTTGTTCTTCTGTCCACCCAGTCAACAGCTGCTCAGTGAATTGCTTGGGTCGCTTTACACCACCTAAGCTTTCACTCTGCAAATGCACACAACCATGGTGCGTGAGGAGTGCCGCACCCATGGACTGGGTGGTGATTTGCAGTCCTTTCAGTGTCCAGAGCACCTGCCATCCTGCCTCCCACATGCTGGTGCAGCCAGCCCTGGCTGACCAGTCTGCAGATGGCCGGGCAGCTCACTCATTCTCCCTAGAGTCAGAGAGGGTAGATTAAGCTGATTTATTTGTTTTTATTTTTTGAATACACACAAAATACAAAAGGTAGGAAATAGCATGCAGAGAAAAGTCCCTTTCACTTCCCAGCCCCTAGAACCCCAGTCCTTGCTGCCTACCTCCAAGAAGATTGCTCCCGTTTTTAAACACTCCCAGAGATGTCTTATGCATCTGAGCATAGACACATGCATACGTGCGTACGCATCTGTAGAGTGTACCTTCCTCCAGACAGCACGCCATCCATGCTGCAGTGTAAACGTAAACATTGATCTTGAAGAGCATGTGCTCTCACTTTTCTTGGCTATGATTCTGCCTACCACAGACATGGCAGAGAGCATCTTATCTCTTCCCTCCTCCAGATTCCTTCTCACAACCCATGGGTTTGCGTGTAGGCATGTCCCCAGGTGTGGCCACAGATAGACAGATTCCATGTTTTGAGACAGCAGGAAAGAGGAAATTTCCCAAGAAGGCTTTCTTACAAGCTCCCCATTCTGCTGGGCCATTAACTGACCTGCCTAAAGGGCGGGCAGATGCCATTCTTTTCCATGTATGTCTGTCCGGGTCTAACTAGGAAATCTCTTTAGCATTGAAGACACTAGGAATTTAATGCCAGGAGATGGTCATATGGTGATGAAAGAGCCCAAACAGGAACCTGGATAATTAGCCACAGTCCCTGCAGTTGCAACCACCCCTAGGTTAGAGGCGTAGAGGGAGAAGGTGGTCTAGTAGAAGGCAGGGCCCAGTCACCCAACAGGACCAAGTGGCTCCCCAGGAGGAACTAACGAAGCAAAGAGGGAGTCTGACAGCTTCCCTTGTCTTACCTATGCCTACCCCACCTTCCAAACTCAGACCAGCACCTCCTTTTGGGCAAACCCAGCTAGCAACCAGCGTCACAGAAACCTTGGAAGACAGCTTGGGGGTAGCCCCTTTCACACGGAGAACTGCAGGGGCAAGGTGAGGGATGGAGCTGAGGGAGACAAGCCCACAGCCAGCCCACAGAGTCTCTCCAAGCTGTCTTCTGGAAGGATGTCACCTGAAGGGGAAGGCCTGTCAGTGTGGCAGACACGATTTAAAGAGAAGGGTGGACTCCTGAAACAGGGAGCTGGCAGCCTGTCCCTCCCTGGCCTGGCTCCTGCTTTCTCTTGCTCTCTGAAGACCACGGCCTGAGGAGTAGCTCCAGGCCAGCGGGCCCAGGTGGCGGTGCTGGAGTCAGAAACAGCTTCTCTCTTCTTCCTGTGCTGGCTGAGGGGACTGGAAGGTCCCAACAAATAGGTCGACTTAGGGGACAGCTGGACAGCTGCCGGGCCAGTGAATTATTCATTCTTCTGTGGTGTGCCCGTCCCCCACGCTTTCAGATGTTGTAATGTCTTTCCAAACCCTGCAGGCTGTAGTGGGTGTTTCCCCCACTTCGCTATACATATTCTCTGCTCCTGGTTTATTGTATCTTTCCTTCTTCCCCTTAAATATATGAGTCTTGGCTCTCTACCACCCTGGCTGCTTTAACATCTCAAACAACTTGTAGCAAAAAGGGAAAGAAGACTTAATCAGCAGAAATATCAGAGAAGACTTCTTTCTATGCTTAAACATATGCAGATTTATCTATATCTATATACATAAAATACAAGGTGTCTCCCCAAAATGTATACACATTTAACAGCTGATAGCTCAATTGATGTTTTTTTCCTTTCAGATTTAACCCATTGGAACTAATAGTTATTCAAAGTATGTATACATTTTGGAAGGACACCCTATATGACTAGAATCATGCTGTATATACTATTTTGCAGTCTTCATATATGCATGATTGTATGTATATACACACATATATACTTAAAATTAAAAGTATTCCATTTTATGTATGCAAAGAATATTCTTGGCCATATATCTTTGCGTTCTTCCCAGATTATCTTCTTAGGAGACATCCTTAGGAATAACACAGCTGGATCAGGAAGTGTGCATGTGTAAATTTTTAAAGTAATTTTCAAATTGTCCTCCAGAAAGGTTAGCTGATTTCTACCCCTACCAACAGTAAACAGGAGTGCCTGTTCCTCTCTCCCTTACCAACAGAGTATTGTCAGAGCTATTCACACTTATCAGTCTGAGAGCCACAAATGATTCTCAATTTACCTTTGGAGGGGTTTACCAGTAAAATTTAGAATCTTTTCTTGTGATAATTGACCATTTATTTGTTTCTTCTCTTCTTCTTTCCCTCTTTCTCTCTCTCTCACTCATTTTTTGTCAATTATGTTTTTTGACCATTTTTTAATTATAGTGCTTATTTTCATTTTAATAATTTGAAGAAATTCTTGTGTTAACCTTTTGTTGGTCCATGTGTAGCAAATAGTTTCCTCAGATTTTCATTTATTTTCTATCTTTTTCATTATTTTACTTGCACAATATGAAAACATTTGAGTTCTATGAGGTCATGTCTATCAGTCTTTCCATCATACTTAGATTTCCCAAGTTTTCCATTAAAATTAGAAAGTCTATCACCATCTCAAGAGTATAAAAATACAGTCTGGTAGCTGCAGGACTGCCCAGACCAGGGTGTAGGGATTGTTTCTATAATCTTTCCCAACTCTTTCTGCAGCCTTTTGAGCAAGAGTCTTTCATTTCCATTGTTAGGTACCTCTAAATCTCAGAAATTAATTTTACTACTAACATCACCCCTGAGTTAAAGTCAAAATCTCTGTCTCATTTGTCACATTCCTGAACATTCCAGGAACTCTGACCCCTAAGTTCATGTACCAGCTGTGTTCTCTGGGTTGTGGATGAGCAACAAGCTCTTGCTGAAAGATTTGGCCAACTCTACTTGAGAAGCTCATTATTAGTATTTTTAGTACTAAGAATATTATAGTATATGGAGTATCTGCTTGGAAGAAAGGATTTGTACACGATGAACAGTTACCCAGAGTCCCACCGTCTTTGCCATCGCTAACATTTTAGTGCATTTCTTTTTACTTTTTCACCATAAACATTTTTACATAATTGAGATCTTTTTATGTGAAATTTGTGTGATGCTTTTTCACTCAACCTCATGCTATTAAGATTATTTTTAAAGGCATTTGACTAGTTGATTGTTTTATTCTGTAGATAAATCAACTATTTCCCTATTGCTTGTTATTTGGGGTTCAGTATATCCATTTTATTTTTGAAATTCTAAATCAAGTTAAAGTAAATATTTCTGTATGTAAACCTCTGTCCACAATTTGATTGAGGGACATAATTGACTTTATTTTTATCTATCTATCTATCTATCTATCTATCTATCTATTTATTTTTAAAAAAATATATCTTTATTGATTTCAGAGACAGGAAGGGAGGGGGAGAGAGAGAGAGAAACATCAATGATGAGAGAGTCATTGATCGGCTGCCTCCTGCACGCCCCCGACTGGGCACCAAGCCCACAACCCGGGCACGTGCCCTGGCCTGGATCCTAGGTTGACGTTCAACCGCTGAGCCACGCCCGGCCGGGCCATAATTGGCTTTAATACAATTGATTTGTACGGTTAGATTTCTTCCCTGGGAAAAATGAAACCCAACTAAAGGGAAGGGATTGAGTGTGAGAGAATGGTGTGTTTGCTTAATACTGTTATTGCATCAGCTCAAAGTTGAACTAACTGGGGAAACAGGCACAAACAGATAAAGTTGTCTTGTTGCTGGTGACACTGTCAATCGTGTTTGGAGCTGGGTCTCAAAGGTACACCTAGCCAGTGTCTTTCCTACTTCACTGGAGTCCCACGGAAATTCGCTCTCCCTGAGATTATACTGGGAGCTCGACAGCACCGCAAAAGCTCCTGGTGGCGCCTGGCTCTCTCCTATTCGGTCTTTTCTGCCACGAAGGGGTAATGTGGCCAAAATCACCAAACTGGATTCATGTTTGCCTTGCAAACCAAACACACACTTCTGTTTTTGTTTTGCTTTGTGTCTGGCCTAATTCTCAGCGCCTCTTCTGCCTGCGAACGATTTGCCACATCCCTCTGTAAGACTGGCGCCAGCAGAAATGCAGTCCCAGAGGACCCCCGGGAGGAAGCGAGGCCGACCCCCGCTGCACCCCACGCCCGTGCGGATGGCGGTCCATAACCTTTATTCCGCCTCGCCTGGTCCCTTACCAGCAGTGAAGATCCCGAAGAAAAGAGGGCGGAAACCCGGGTACAAGGTACGGCCCCCCATCTCCTTCCTCCACAGCGGGTGGGCTGGGCTGGGGGCCTGGGCGGGACTGAGGGAAGGGGGAGCTGGGGAGGGACCGGGCAGTGCGTTCCGTCCGTGGGGCTGGGGACCCGCGCCCGTTGTTCCTGCAGGGCACACAGTGCAGGCTGGTGCCTCGTGTGCGTTTTTACAAGCAGAGAGAGCAAATTGCACCAGATGGGCAAAGTTGTGAGGCGAGCAGATTTTAGGGTCAGAGCTAAACACACATTATTCAGCCTCGCATCTAAATGAATGTTTCAGACGCTGAGCTGTCCCCGGACTGTGCCTTTTGGGGCGGCCCTTGAAACCACTTTCCAGAACTCATTCGTCATTCACTTTAGTAGAAGCAGATGATGTTCCTGTGACATTTAAGCTATTAACGCGAGTGTCGAAGGACCTAGAAGAGTTTTCCCAAATAGAGCCTCAACCAGGGGACTCATCCCGAAAATGCTGGGTGTTAATTCATAGTTTCCTGCTTATAAAAGGTGCTCACGTCATTTGGCTCCACCGAGGCTTATCCCGCAAAGTTAAAATCTCGTGACCCTTTTAAAAATTAATGCTTTGGAGAGGCTCAGGGTGGAGAGTAAATTCTCCAATCGCGTAAAGCAACCCAGACCCGAGAATTAGCTTCTCCTCTAAGATGCTTTCGAAGGCACTACTGCAGAGGAACGAGAGCTTGTTCCCCACCAGCCTTTCGGGCATCAGAAAATGAGCTTCAGAAGTTGTCCTTCATTCCCTTGTCTTGAAATAAAGAGCTTATGTTTCCATCTTGAGATCTGAATGCTCAAACCAAAATGCAAATTGCCAATTAACTCCCATAGATTTAGGAAAATGTATGGAAATTATTTCAGGTCAGCAGAAAGGCGAAGCTTCCGGAAGCACTGGTTATGAATTCAGCCTTTATTCCTCTTGTTCTCTGCAGTTCTTCCAACTGCTGGAAAACGAAAATGGCAGGTGGGGGCGGAAGTGACTCAAAGTTATTTGGGGGTTGTTGGTTTTAGTAAAAGTTCTTAGGTAAAGTCTTTTGTCACTGCTTATTTTTCTAACACAGAGAGTTTCCTTTTCCTCATGGGCACAGCAGCTTCAGAATTGTGTCTCTGAAGCTGACACAGGGCGGGTCTCCCTGATCAGCTACCTGTGCGGTGGCCGGGGCCTGGGAATTGCATCTGGAAGGCTGGAGCCAGGCAGCCTTTCTGTTTATAGAGCCAGGGAGCCAATCCAGGAGCTGAAGAAACACACTGAAAACTTTTCTATTCTGTCTGGCCTTTCTCCTACTCCCCTGGGAGCTGTGACCCAAGAATGAAAATTACTGACAGACACAGCATTTCTGGAGCCAGGAAAAATGGAAATTCACTCCATGGAATGAACCCGACTTTGCGATTTTCCTGTCTCCTACAAAGGGCAGTTTCAGTGCTCCTAATACTCAGACACCTCAGGGCAAGAAGAAAGTTTTGGGGATGCTAAGCAGACCTGCAGGCCCTGCACGAAGCAGGCAGGTCTCACACCCATGCCTCACAGGGTTTCTTTTTGGGGACAACCGGCCACAGTTCTTCCTTGGGTCCACCTCCCATATATTTGGGGAAATGTGTGGGAATTATTTCAGACCAGCAGCTCCCAGACAACTCTCCAAGTGTGCAAGTCGAGGAGAACGGCTCTAAGCCTGGTGCCAGTCCGCATGAAGTTCCTGCCCAGTCATGACATGAGAGAAATAACCGTTTGAAAGGCTTCATAAAGCCAAAATGATTCCACTTAAAGGATTATCCTTTATCCTTTCTTCTTTATTATCCTACTATTTTGGTGTTAAAGTTTATTTTATTTTATTAAGTATTGTACATTGTAAGGATTTGCTAATTTTTAAAAAGTCCTATTTGGCAAAATAAAGTTAGCAAACTGCAGTCTCTCCAGTTTTATTTTGACAGTTTCTTAGACCCTGAAGCCCCATTTACCATTAACAAAAGGGTTTTAATTATGGAGAAGCCAGCAAGGAAACTGTACAGTTTCATTCCATTGACCAAATCACCACTAATTTGGCAATTTTAACAACCTGGGACACAGTTGGTGCCAGAAGTTGCTAAAAACGCTGAGCCAGCAAAATAAGATATTACTTGGTCTACTCTTAGAGATCTCAGATTTTATTACTGAGAAAATGCTTTCAAGCCCTCCCTCAGAGTTCGTCTACTGTAGACACATTTCTTACAAGCTCGATTATACCCTTTCATTAACAGCCTTAGAACTGAAGGGGAAGATGTGTGGGGGGAAAAGACTGCACATGTAGCTGGATGCTGAGGGGATAATAGTAGTTCTATGATAATATATTAATAACACAGAACAATGAAATATGCAATAGTATTAATATTATAAAATAATAAATAACATAATTTTGTCATATTGATAATAACATTATGATATATTTATACTGACAATATTATAATAAACTAAGGACCCGAGCCTTTGGCAGACTTGTCCCCGGGAGGTCCTGAGGACATCTGCTGTGCTGACTATTACAGGGCTAAGCTGGCTGATGTTGTCACTTCTTGCCTGGTGCTGTCCCAATCTGCTCTGTAAATCACTGTGTTCCTGCACATGCGGAAACTCTCTCTGGTCCAAGTAGGGGACAAGCTTCTCCTTTAAGACTAATCACACAGGCAGTGACATTTAACCCCTTCCCTGGGTCTTGAGAATAACACGGGTGAATTATAGGCAGAAAAGGGAGAGTTCAACCGGCAGTCAGATGTCAGTGCTCCAGAGTTCATAGGTCGTACCTCCTCCCAGGGCCCATCTGGGCACCTTTCTCTTGGCCCTGGCCGACAGCCACATTGCAGGAGCACCCTCATTGCTGTGAGAGCAACATTTTGTGGTCTTACTGCCCCATTCTAGTCCAAGTCAAAGGAAGCAAACACCTCTGAAGAGCCTACTCTGACTGCCACGCAGAGAGTGATCTTCGTCATCAAACAGAATCTTTACATGTCGTTTGCTGCACTTGCTATTGGCTTAGGTCTTTCGTTCAGAGACTCCCCAAGGTCAACAGGTAGATTCTGTGACAAAAAAGACCATCGGAGTGTTTTTAAAGAGATAAAGAGAAAGGGTCTGCACCAAGGACAAACCCTAGCTCCCATTCTGTAGACAGATGACTCAGCGTCTCCACATGTGGGATTTTCAGTTTCTGTGTCTTTATGATTAGAATTATGATTTAAGCAGGAAAAAAAGTACTGGATTTTTAAGATAGCCACTTGTCTACATAATAATAATAATTAATACTAATTGCAATGTTATGTAACATTTATTGAGCACTTCTGTGTTTGTGGCTCTAGGCCAAAGAACTTTATGCGTGTTTTCTTATTTGATCCTTGATAGTTTGACAGTAAAGGGAGCCAGAAAAGCTGCGGATATTGGCACGACTCAATCATGCCCCACAGCCTGAGGCCACTTATTGTCAGGCCAGCAGCCCTGACAATAGATGCTTCCACAATCTCTTTGTATTATTGTTCAGAATAGTAATTATGCTTCCTGATTCAAAAAAGAGCAAATTGTGTTCTGTCTGCTATGTTTAATGAGTTAGAAAAGTGTAACATGTTCTAGAAAGAATTTCATCCCTGAAATACTAAAAACAAAAGGTTAAAATGTTCTAAAATGCTGGTAATTATATTACTCAGGACACAAAGTCAGCTGCTGTAATGGTGGCTCAAAGATGATAGAAGCTAATAATTTCTCTCTCTTGTTAAAGTCTGGGAAGACAATTTGGTGCTGATACGATGGCTTGGTGGTGTTGGGGACCCAGGCTCCTTCTATATTGTTACTCTGCTATCTTAACACAAAGTCCATACTTCATGCTCTAAAATGGTTCCTCTAGTTCCCACTATCCCACTAGTCCAGCCAGCAGAATAGGACAAAGTTAGTGGAGACATGTTTTTCCTCTTTAAGGGCCCAGCCGTCCAAGTTGCACTTTGCATCCCACTGGCCAGAACTTAGTTACTTGGCCTCACTTAGCTCCAAGGAAGATGGGAAAATGTAGTGTTGGGTGACCAGGTGATGAGCTAAAATTCAGGGATTCCATTATTAAAGGAGTAGGGAGCATGGACATTTGGGAATACCCAACAGCTTCAGCTAAGTACTTAAAGGGCAGTCTTCTGTTACAGGAAATTTTACTTTAAAAAAAAGTAATTTTATAATGAACATGGATAAACACAGTTTGTTTTGTTCTCCTTTTCTTATTGTCATCTTCCCCCTCACCCCAAAGTATGTGCTCTTGGCACCGTATAATAAGAAGTCAAGTTCACAAAAATCTCAAGAGAATGTTCAAATTTAAGAAGAAAGGGTTTTGTTTGTTTCAACACTTGTTTGAAGCTTCTTTCTAAAATGTGTTTTCATTATAAATGTTGAATTGGCTTCAATGCTTCTTTGATTATCCAGATCTTACATTGCCTTAGAATCATATACTGTACATGAGCACTAAATGTAGCTTAATAGTAGGCAAGGAAAGACTGGATATCTAATAACTTCCTGTGCCTATTTTCAAGTCCCTCTCTTGCAGATGGTAGGTATGGTGTTCCACCTGTGGTCCAGGGTGGAAAATGATTTCGCAAACACAGGCTGGGCGGGGGGCAGGGCATTCCCTCTGGCTGAACATTGTGCAGCAGCACAGTGGGCAGGGGCTGTCTCTCCTTTGGACTTCTGTTGCCCCCCAGCCCCTACCCCAGGGCTGGAGCAGGGGTCAGGGTGGAGGTTCAGCAGTAGGTCGGGGCAGTGTATGCTGGCAAATGTTTCCAGCATTTTGAGTGTAGCTCCCATGTGAATGTTAGTTGATATTTCCATGGATGTTAAGGAGTGAGACAAACGTAAACAGTGAAGTCACATGTTGGAACTTCTTTCATCTGTCAAGGATGTAAGTGACATCTTTGCTGAATTGGATAATAGTTTTGAACTCAAAAAATATTTCAGTTTTTTGTGCTATTTACAGTGTAACAGCTATAGACAAGGCACACTTTTAAGTTTGTGTTTTTAACATTTTCTTAAATCTATAAATCAGCAAAATAATAAATTCAGCCCTAATTTGTAGCATTTGTCAATTTCCAAGGTTTAAATATTCCCAATATGGTCAATTTCATCACCAATGTGACATTGCAATGTGATTTTGGGAAAAGATATGCAGCCACACACCCATCTGTATTTCCAGGTTTCCATACAGATGCAATAGTAGAATAATTGGTAAATGTTGAGCTTTGAGTATCTATTACCTTTGTTTTTAATATACTTTAGTTAATACTCCAAGTATATATACATTCATTTTTAATAATGGCTGTGTTTAACAATCAACTTGCAATATTACTGAAAATCTAATAATCATCTCTGTGGACCCATATGAGCTGGCTCCGGGTCTCTCTGCTCTGAGTTCTTCTGCACATAATGCCTGTCACTGGATGTCTATGTCCCCTCTTCATAGCTCTACAGGGCTGACTGCTTTGACCCCGTGCCTGCTGAGACATAGAACTTGGCCCCCTAACCAGTTTCTATAAGAAACCTGATCACACCAAGCATTTCTTGAAATGTGTGGTCTTTATGAAAGATTGCTGGGGTCACAAGACACAGTGAACAGGACTCCACTAAATAATTCTCACAGATAGATCTGGTTTTTGAATTCTTCTTTATCCAGTGATGGTTTTTTTGGTGTGTGTTTTTTTCTTTCCCCTTTTCTTCCTTCTTTCTCTGAATACCTGTGGAGTACTGGCTTCATTTTCTCCTCTTTTGGCTTCCTTCTGTCAGGAGGAAATTAAACCATTCTTCCCAGCCCCATCTGCTGTGGAGCAGCAACACCCTCTCCTTCGCCCCTTCCCCTTTCCCCCCTGTACCTCACCAGCTTCAGCGACTCTCAGGGCCCAGAGGAGAATCTGAACCCAACACAGAGTTGGTGGGAAAAAGCTCCAGCATTCACACCCTATCCCTCCCCCCTATTTGCACCTCTGAAAGGCACAAAGGTGCTGGACCATTCCCCACCCACATCCAAGCATCCCCTCTGTCTTCACTGTGATGCAGGCAGTATGTTGTATTGGGGTAATTTATTTTTCTAGGGAAGTTTTAATGCAAAGATCTTTCAGATAGGATCTCGGATTTGACTGAGGGGCATGTTGCCCAAGGAGGCCTCAAGGCCAAAGGATAATGGTCCCTCCTTCCCTTGGATGTTTAATCTCTCCCCCAGATGCAGGGGAAAAAAGGTATGTGTAGATTCAGAAACAGGCTGACTCCTAGGAATGGAATTAGGTCATCCGCTACAAACTTCTTGTTGTTGGATTGGATTTGCATTTCCAACAGGCAGGTTTTTAGACTAAAGTCTGAGGTTAAACACTGCGAGGTATTCAATTTTCCCTAACTCTGCTCCCCACAGCATCTTCTCAAACCCTGAGAGAGCTTTGTATGAAGAAAGAGAGTCTAAAGGAGGAATCCCCAAGGAAAGCCAAAGGCAGGGACATGGACAATGCTGTTCTTATCACATAGGCAGGGGGAGGGGAAAGAAGGGAGGGAGAGCATGATTTAAAAAAAAAGTCTGGTATATTAGTTCCCTAGGGCTGCTGTGACAATAAAAGGACAAACTGGGGGGGCTTGGCCAACAGAAATGTATTGTTTCACAGTTCCAGAGGCTAGACATCTGAGATCGAGGTGTTGGCTGGGCTGGTTCCTCCTGAGGGCTGTGAGGGGGACTGTCCCAGGCCTGTCTCCAAGCTTCTGGTGGCCTCAGGTGTTCCTTGGCTCCATAGGTGGTGTTCTCCCTGTGTCTTCTCACTGCCTTTCCTCTGTGTGTGTCTGTCTCTGTATGTAAATTTCCCCTTTTTATAAGAACAATTGTCCTATTGGATTAAGGCCCACTTTAATGACCAGCTTCACTTGGTCATCTACAAACATCCTATTTCCAAAAAGGATCACACTCATAGGTACTGGCGTTAGTACTTCAACAGCTTTTTGGAAGACACATTTCAACCCATAGCATCCAGTATAATAGTTTTTGTCTTTTAACTAGACATTTAATCCATTTGTGTTTATAGAAATGACTGGTAAGTTTGGGTTTAAATCTATATCTTATTTTGTGTATTCTGTTTGTCCCACTCATTCTATGTTCCTTTTACCTTTCTTTTTTGCCTGCTTCAATACTTTTTAATTTAATTTTTTCCCTACTCATTGAAAGTTATGCACTATGTTTTCTATGGTATTATTGATTGCTCTAGAAAGTGCAGCAAGCTTACTTACTAGTGTTTTTATAAAGTTAACCCTACTGTTACTTCTTCTTAGATAATACAAAGACTTTAGGACATTTTAACCCCATTTGTCTTCCCACTTGTATATGATTGTTGTCACACATTTTAATTCTTTTACTTCTTTAATTTATCAAGACATTATTATTATTATTTTTTAGAATGTATACTTTTATTGATTTCAGAGAGAAGAAGGGAGAGGGAGAAAGAGATAAAAATGTCAATGATGAGAGAGTCATTGATCAGCTGCCTCCCGCACTCCCCAAGCTGGGGATCGAACCCCCAACCCAGGCATGTGTTGTGACCAGGAAACGAACCGAGATCTTCTGGATCATAGGTCGATGCTCAACCGCTGAGCCATGCAGGCCGGTCCATAATTATTTTTATATAGTCAGTTTCATTTAAATTCACAGTGTATTTACCACTTAAAATTTTTTTAGTTTCTTTTGCATATCAGACCCTTCTACCTGGGATCACTTTCCATTTGCCTGAAGTACATCTTTTAAATGTCTCTTTAATATAGGTCCTCTAGTGATGACTTCTCTAGCTTTTTTTGTCTGGTAGTATCTTTATTTTAATTTTTGGAAAAGAATATTTTTTCTGGGTGTAGAATTCTAGGTTGTCAGTTATTCCCTTGCAGCACATTGAAGGTATTCCATTTGTTAAAACTTCTTATATTTGCTCTGTCTTTTAACCTCTCCTCCATAGTTTCTATGTATTTGTCTCTATGCTCCTTTTTGGAGGTGACTTGTTGGTATTGACATTACCAACCAGTCATCTCCTCCTTAATCCATAAGAGCAAATGTCAGCTCCTCATTTGTGACTTCAAGTGAGCCCTTCAAGGTGGCTGCTTCTCACTAGCAAAGAATGCACTCCTGTCCACACTCAGGCTGTCTTTGACAGTCTCTGCTGCAGGAAATAAACACGGAGCAGTATGTTAGCCCTTGGAGAAATAGCTCCTGCTCTCTTTTCCAGAAGGATTCAGTGATCTTTGTGAGCAGAAAGCTCCGCAGAGGAGATGAGCTGCAGGGTCAGTCTCTGGGTGGCTGTTGGGAAAGCACTGTCTACAGGATTCTAGGGAGCACAGGGGCTCATGCCGGGAACTGGCCCCCATCCTGCATCCTGCACTCAGAGGGCTTATAGGCATCAACTATTCATTCCTCTGTGTGCTCCCACTGGCGGACACAGCCATTTCTTGAGTGACCCCACTGTAAGGGTGGAGTGCAAAGATGACCTTTGAGTGTGACCCCAAATGTGAATCTTGAACATAGACTTGAATCTGGAGTTCAGCCCCCCAAGCTGCACAGTAGAAAGGTGTGGAAGCCATGGTTAACTGCCATCCAGGAAATACTCTGGGAGGGTGTAGAGAGCAATTCCAGATTTTCATTGACCAAATGGGCTCTCTTTGCAGCTCAAGTCTCGGGTTCTCATGACTCCTTTGGCCCTCTCACCTCCGAGGAGTACGCCAGAGCCTGACCTCAGTTCCATCCCTCAGGATGCAGCCACCATCCCCAGCTTGGTGATCCCACAGGATCTAACAGGTAGGTCAAGTGAATGAACTCCAAGGCTGTGATGGCCTGCCTATCATCTAAGCTTTACTTTGTGAATTAGAGAGCTACCACCGAAATAGCTCAAGTAAAGGATTTAGTGTGTTAGCCAACAGCAGATAGGATGACCAGGTTCTCTGAAAACAGTAGTTTGAATGTTTCACAGCTTGGATTATTTGAAACTTGGTTTTCAATGCGTCTTGGGTTTAGGCGCTTGCCTTGTGTGTGGGGGGGACTGGAAAGAGTAGTTGGTGGCTCAGTTTTTTGTTTCCAGAGCCAGGTTTACTTTGCACCAATAGTGAGCCTGCTCACCTTGAAGAGTTTCCACCTCTGTGTTTGTACTTCCATATCTCCTAAGTATCTTCCTCTCCCTTAATCTCTCCCGGCCACCTTCTAATCCAGTCTAAGCAGCATGCAGCCCAGTGTCTCTCAAGGAGTATCCACCAGCCAACCATTCCATCATAGGAGTAACAACAATCAGATTGTCACATGCACGTGCATGCATACACTCGGTCCCCCCTCATCACCACTGCCCTCTCCTGCCCCTCCTAAATTCCTTCATTCTCCTCTTAGGTGAAGACTAAACTTGCTAAAATGGCCAACAAGGCCCTGTAAGTTCCCTCCTCCTGTGACCCAGCCCATTGCTCTCCTTAGTCCCTAGGATCGCCCCTCCATCCCCACGGGATCTTAGCACAGTCTCTTCCCTCCATCTGGAATGATCTTCCCTCTGGTCACCCGACTTCTCCCTTGTATCTTGGCTCAGGCATACCTCCTCCTTCATCGGCTTCTTGCCAGGGTCCTCAGGGAGTCTCTCTGAGGAGGAAAGCAGCCGTTCTCAGGCCTGGGGACAGTGGTTGTGGCCAGGGGCTATCTTCCGTCTGGGATCCAGGACACTTCATGAGCCTGTGTCCTGAAGGCCTCTCTCAGGGCTCTCCCAGCACCAATCAGTGTTTCTCACAGCTGAGGTCCCACATCAGCCCCTGTGACTCTCTGAGTAGGTGTGCCTCCACTCTGGGCCCTAAGCCCTGTGAAGCCAGGACCTTGTTGGTTTGGTTCACGATCTTCTCCATAAGGCCTAGCACAGTGTCTGGCATCAAGGTCTCTTATTAATTGTATTTCCTTAATCACCTGGGATGAGTAGAAGAGAGGCAGCCTGGTAGAGTGAAAAGAGCATTGGCCTTGACCTCAGAAAGGCTTGAGTCCAAATCCCTGCTGCACCACTAATTACAGTCGCTCTGAGCCTCCCACTAACCATCTGAAGACGCAGTTTCTTCATCAGTAAAGAAGGAGTAGTGCCTGTTCCCTGGCTTGTCTTAAGAATGAAACAAGAGAAAATATATAAAGTGCCTGGAATATAATATGTGATTAGTAAAAACTAATTTTCTTCACCTTTGTTGTTACTGTTCAATAGCCCTACTGGTCTCCTCTTAAAGTCCCTCTCTTGCATTAGTGGCCTCCAAGGCAAGATGCTCATGCTCTGGGGTGGGAGTGCGGGGGGGAGGAGCCCGAAGAGGAGAGTCAGTGTATAGAAGAAAATGTGATACCTACTATTGATATATACTTTTATCTCATCCTTTAAATATGATGTATAAATAAATAAACACATTTTGGGGCATGTGCCCCAAATTTTTTACTGAGGGGATATATTACTTTAGAAGTGTGGAAAACCATTGATTGGGCTCACCTAAATAGGCAGCTGAGTGTTTATTTTCCCTGAAATTGTAAATAGCACTCTCTTCAGAAGGTGGATACATAGTTTTTGGAGCGACCAACATTATCTTGATGTTTTTATTCATTAAAAATTAACAAAAATATGGTAAACATCATGTGTAGCTTGGTGGCTCCCTTGGAGAAGAAGGGAAGATTCTGTGTATGTACTTGCCCAGTATGGACATATGCTTATATATGCCGTCCACATGGGCCTCCATATCTGTGTACAATTCAGATTTGAGTACATCACATGAGACCCACCTGTCCATCTGTCCCTAACCAGGAGGCCCTCTTGGGAACAAACTCTGGCAGTTGGGGTGATTGGCTTCTTTGCTTCTTTTATTAAGTAGGAAGAACCAGTCCCACTTTTGCCATTTTTCAGCTTTCCAAGGCCAGGGCCAAGGGAACCCATGGAGAAGCTCCCTGGCCTGTTGTCACTGATACTGAGGGCTTTGTGGGTCTCTGTTTCCACAGTCTGCCTCTACATCAACAAGCAAGCCAACGCAGGGCCCTACCTGGAGAGGAGGAAGGTGCAGCAGCTTCCCGAGCACTTCGGGCCCGAGAGGCCGTCGGCAGTCCTGCAGCAGGCCGTGCAAGCGTGCATCGACTGTGCCCACCAGCAGAAGCTGGTCTTCTCCCTGGTCAAGCAAGGCTACGGTGGCGAGGTGGTGTCAGGTAAGGCCCTAGAGCAGGTTTATGAGGGGGACCATGGGTGTCTCTGAAGAGGAAATCAGCCATTCTCTGACAAGGGGGACAGTGGTTGTATTCAGGGTCTAGTCTCTATCTGTTGGGCTCCAGGATCCTTTATGAGTCTGTGTGCTGAAGGCCTCCCTCAGGGCTCAAGGAGAAGATGCTTCCACACCTGGACAAGAGGATTGGACATCGGAAATCTCACCCTTGACTCTTTTCTTTCTCCCACCCTCACTTCCCACCCATCAGTAAATCCTATTGCTCTAACTTTAAAATATATCCAGAACCTAGCCACTTTTCACCACCCACAGCAACCACTCTGGTTCCTTAAAAATATAAGCCAGATCATGCCCATCCTCTGCCCTAAACTCTTAATGGCTCCCATGTCACTCTGAGAAAAGCCCACACCCTAACAAGGCCCCGTAGGCCCTATGTGACCTGGCCCTTGCTGCCTCTTTAATCTCCTGGTCACTTCTCTCAAGTCCCCCACTCTGCTCTGGCTATAGCTTCCTCCTTGCCGCTCTTTCTGTGTCCTCAATCGTGTTTGTGCCCCAGGATCTTTGCACCTGCTATTCTCTCTTTCTGGAATGTTTTTCCCCAGCCCACTATGTGATTTGCTCCTGGACTTCCTTCAGGTTTTTACTCAAATGCCTCTTTATCAAAGAGCCCTTTCCTGACCACCTTGTCTAAAGTATCAAGCCCCTGTCACTCTTTATTCTTTACTCTGCTCCATTTCTTTCTCATGGTACTAATCCCCATGCTGGCAGTGAGGAAAGTTCATGGTCTCAACTTCATCTCACAGGGCATGTTTTTTTTAAACAAGAGCCTTTAAATTCAATCCCTTCTCTCCTTGTTGTTGCCCATCTACAGTTTCAGCCCCAACCCAATAGCTTCCCGAGGGAGCAGAAGTTGTCATCACAGTGAGAGGCGGAATTAGGAGTTCTGTTCCATTCTAATGTCTTACTGGAGGCTGTCTACACAGTGGCTGTCACCACCTGCCCTTAAGTCCTGGGGATGTCTTGACTGCAAGGGGATAGCTTGGTGTCTTCTCTGGCTCAGCATCATGGACACAGTCTCCATATCAGCAAGGAAAAGGGAGATGATTACCAGCAATGGGGCTGTGCAACTGACCCTGCTGGCTGGCTAAGATGGGGGAGAGAGGACTCTAATGTGGCTGCATCATGAAAAACAAAGCAGCACATTTTATTTAACTCTGAATCCTCAGGTCTAGGGTCTGGGAAGGGTGTCCAATCCAGCCTCCCCAGCTCTGAGTGACTTAACCTGCCTTCTAGAGCTCTCTCTGAGCAGGAAGCTGGGTCTGACTTGTTGGTAATTGACTAAAATAGAACTTGGCTAGGTCCAGGTGCATGTGTCTGACCCGGGGTGACTTTTAAGAGACTTTAGCAGATGTGAGCAGAGATAGAAGTACTGCACTGAGAGAGGCCAGGAGAGACCTGCTGTCTGGCCTTCTAAGAGCCCCTTGGCTGTTCCCCTCCTGGTTTCTGTCTGAGAGCCAAGTTCTCAGTCTTGGGCTGCAACCTGAGATCAAAGGCCTTGTCCGTCTCCTTAGGAAATAGCAGGGCTCAAGACACAGGCCGCGTGCTAAGAGAAAGCTCCTCCTGTACTGTGTGCCCATCCTCTTGAGCAGATCCCACCTGACTGATTCTTTATGGCCCCTTCCCAAAGCTGGGAGAGATGACCCTGTTTTCCTGGCTTTCTTGCTCAGCCTTTCTGTGGCCTCAGGGGCTTTGGTGCTGGGAAGGAGCTGCAGCGCCTGGCACCAACCAGCATGGGCAGAGCCTCTCCAAGTTTCCCTTGGCTGAAAGATTCCCAGGAAAGCCAGAGCTGAGCACTTGGTCTTGGTGTCTTGGAGAATGCAGCCGCACTAAGGAGGCTCCTCATGCCACCACCTTGAGGTTGGGAAGCAGCAAGGTGGTCTTCATGTTACTGATGGTGGTTGGAAGCTCGGCAAGGCCAAGTGACAGCACCGAGGTGGTTTAGGGAAGGAGTCAAGGAGAAACAGCCAGGCTCTCCCACTCTCCACTGAGAACCTGATCCTTGGGGCACTGCTTTCCAAATATGCCCATGGCAGAATACACAAAGAATGATGATACCGGCACAATGAGCTGCAGGAACCAAACTGCCATGCTGGGCCTCGGGGGAGCAGTCTTGCAGTGCCCCACACCGGCTACCTGCATGCCTGCTGGGATGCTCTGCCTTAGCCACCTTCTCTCCCAGGGGTAGACTTTCTGATCTCACAAATCCATGTCCCCCTCCAAGACGTGGAATTTTCCCACTTATGTGATCTCCTAGGCACCTCTAGGAAAGTGTGCACACCGATTTATGGGACAGACCTGAATCCCCAGACCCTCCTACTGTGGGTTCAGTTTCCAGCACACCCAGTCTTCTAAGGTATTGGAGGCAGGCAATTGTATTCATGCTAGGAAGGAATTGCTAGAGCATCTGAATGGCCAAGATGACCCCTTTGGTGAGCATCTTGGGAGCTCATTGGCTGTCTTTCTTAATCAGGGTCACCTGGAATATTAGAATGACAGGCAAGTCCACTTAGAGGCCACACCCTCTCTGCAGTTTCCTCATCTGTAACATGGGGTAACCATTTTTCCACCTTCTTCTCTGGACAGTCAGGAGGCCTAAATGAGGTGATGGATGTGAAAGCACTTGTCAAACTATAAAGAGCTGCACAAAATAAATGGGTTATTTTTATTTCCAATTAAAATGGGTATTTTTGTTTGTTTGTTTGTTTTTAGTTTTGAAATAAAAACTAGCTCTGTCCGCCTCTGCCCCCGCCCTTGCTGTCTGCCAGTCTTTGGGAGATGCAACATAGAAAACCAGGCTGCCCTCTGGGTGTTGATGCTGAGTGGTGGAGGCCTAGGTGGGAGCAGAACGTCCTGTTTGAGATTTCCTTGTGTTCCTCACACTGGGGTTGATGTGCAGGCTTCTTGGGGTGAGAGAAGGCTGTGAGAAGAATTACAGAAAGGAACATGCTCTGGGCTGGAAGAAACTTGTGTTTCTTCTAAACTCAGATAACTCTATAGAAATCGAGTTTGATCTAGCTTTACTGTGGAGAGATTATTGTTCTTTTATAAGATTCTTCCCCAGAGAACTAGAATGAACCTTGAACTCTGTGAGGAAGAATTAGAGACCTCAGTACAGATCTATCTATCTATATCTATCTATGTATCTATTAGAGACCTCAGTACAGATCTATCATCTATCTATCTATCTATCTATCTATCTATCTATCTATCTATCTATCTATCTATCTATCATCTATCTATCTATCATCTGTCATCTATCTATCTATATCTATCTATGTCTAGGTAGAGAAATCATTATAATGCAATAGTATACATACATACATTTCTTAGCTCTCTTCACTGAAAGGCCCCAGAACTAACTGACACCCCAGCAGCAATGAGCACATCCAGTGCCTAAATCTTGGTTTCTAAAATCACTCTTCAATAAACAGAACCAGGGCTGCTGGAGAAATGGCTGATTTTAGGGCTGGAGCAGGGGAAATACAAGATGAACCTGGAACATACTGAAGTGTCAATATCTAAAGAGTTGCTAAAAAAAAAGGGAAAGGCCTGTCATAGGGACACAGGAGTCAACCTAGAAGCTCGACCAATTTGAGCAACAAAATAAATAATGTAGTATTGGATAACCACAGTACAAAATAAATATACTGAATCTGTAGTGATATCAATAAATGATTGAATAAATAAATAATAAATAAATGGAGGAGAAATTCTTCCTTCTGGAAGAATTTCAACTGATCCAGACTCTCCCCTTTCTAGAAGGTAAGGGTTGGGCAGGACCTTGTGACTTATTTGTAAGGCAATAAGAAATGGAGGGTATAGTGGGAAAGTGTAGCAAACACTGTCTCAGCCCAGTGAAGGTTAAACCCCAGTGATGTCATGGACATCATGGGTACGTGACCTGATGCGATGAAGAAGGCATTCACCTCTGTGTTCTTCCTCCTAAAAAACTCATCACCCCAGTCAGATGATGAGAAAAACATCAGACAAACCCAAATTGAGGGACATTTTACAAAATACCTGACCAGTACTCTTAAAATCTATCAAGGTCATTGAAAACAAGGAAAAACTGAGAACCAGCACCAAACTAGAGGAGACTAAGGAGACACCACAACTACCTCCAGTGTGGTCTCCTGGATGAGACCCTGGAACAGAAACAGGACATGCATGAAAACCCAGGTGAAATCCAAATAAAGCCTAGTTAGAAACAAAACTGAATGAACAAAAGCGTCTTCCCAGGGCTGAGACTTGGGGCTTTCTCCAGCGCCCACCCTGAGTTGCTGTCTGGTTTTCCAGTCTCGGCGTCCTTTGATGGGAAGCAGCACCTGCGGAGTCTGCCCGTGGTGAACAGCATCGGGTACGTCCTCCGCTTCCTCACCAAGCTGTGCCGCAGCCTCCTGTGTGATGACCTCTTCAGCCACCAGCCCTTCCCCAGGGGCTCCAGTGCCTCTGAGGAAGCCCAGGAGAACCAGGAAGGCAGGATGGAGTCAGGTAGGCTTAGTCCGTCTGTCTTCCCCTCGCCTGCAGGTGGTCCCAGGTGTACTTGCCCCCCCCCAGGGCAGGTGAGGCTGCTGCTGAGGGAGCTGCCACAACTCTTCGGAGCTTTCCTGCTGGAGGCCCCCGGGCTGCCTCTCTGGGAGCCCTGGGAGCAGTCAGGGCCAGCCAGGACCAAGGATACCTAGATGGTCCCCACACAGGCGCAGTGGGAAGAGGTCACTCCACTAGCTTCTAGGCCTATGCTATTAGAATTTAGATGAGATCACATTGCATATAATGCATGATTTTCTTCACACTCCTCTTGGGCATTTATTCATCATGGTTGACTGGTTGAAAGACTAAGAAACTAAGAAATCCTGAAAAAACTAGGGCTAAGAATCAATTACATTGGTCCTACCTGAGGACCTCGGATGCCTACTCATGTCAATAAAAGGTGTACCAGAGTGTCTGTTATCTCAGGAATCTGACCAGGCCTTAACCAAATATGTCTCCCAGTGAGAGTTAGTGTTTTTTTCTCATCACAGAATGGAAAGTGACCCAGGGACTAGTGCCTTTTGTACAGCCTGCCTCAGAATAGCTCAGCATGGGAAAGTGGAGAGTGGGAAGGACACCAAGGCCACATGGGCAAACTCGCCAGGACGTGTCTACCCAAGGGGCTAGACACTGACCGGAAGTGCTCCTTCTCCACTTAGCATCCCTGAGTTATGGATTTGCAAAGAATTAAATATGACTCCAGGTTCCCAAGGATGAACAGAAGTGTTGCCTTTTTTCTTTCTTCGGAAACAGTGCTGTTGATATATAAAGAACACACAGTGAGGCTAGATTCTAGTCATTCTCGCACTTTGCAAACATTTGCTGAACCCTCTCCTGTTCCAAGCCTCGTGAGACCTGCCTTGAGATAAGACAAATACACGAATTTAGGAAAGTTTTTGTGGTTATTGAGTGACCGTTATGAATAATAAAAACTGATACATCAGTAGGTATCTGCTCACAGGCAGCCTCAGAACATTCAACAAAAGAACCCTTATAATAAGAGGGTCTATATCTTAAGCCTAGGAAGACAAGAGAAAGGAATAAATTTAGATTTTTTTGGTCTTGTTTTTTTAAACACTTTTTCTGTTTTTTTTTTTTAAATTTAATTTTCAATTATAGTTGACATGCAATATTATATTAGTTTCAGGTGTACAGCAATTTTATACCTTATGAAGTGATCGTGCCACTAAGCCTAGTACCCATCTGATATCACACATAGTTATTTATTACATTATCGATTATATTCCTTATGTTGTACTTTACATCCCAGTGACTATTCTTATAACTGGCAATTTGTATTTTTTAATCCCTGTAAAACTTAGTTGACTCAGAAACATAGCCTAAAGCTTATGTATCTTCTGGTGAATCTTGCAATAAGAATAGCAGAATTGCCTGATTTCACTTCCCATTGAACAACCAGTGACCATGGGACATAATCATAAGGCCACACAGTCCATGTCTCCCATTCTCCTTTAAATGTATCCTGTAAGACCATTTCTTCACTGTTCATGAATAAATCTAGGACAAATCTTGTGACTTTTCTGGCTTCTTTCAGGTAACAAAACATTCTCTAGTCAATAATTAATATGTCTAGGTCAGTGTGACAATCAAACTTTAAATTTCGCTCAAAGATATAATTACTCCCCGTGCCCAGCTCAGGCCTGCTTTGGCCAGTTGCCTGCAGCAGTAAAGGAGGGGATGGTTTGCTTCTCTGCACCCCTGCCCAGCCTTGTGTTTTTGCCCCCTCGCATATCTAGCTAATGATTTCGAATCCTTCATGATCTGAGTGGGGGAAAGAGTAAAGGCAAGAAGTAAGAGAGTTTTTATTTGACTAATCCCGCGGTGAGTCGGCATCATGCTGCCTGGTTCTGGCGGGTATTTAAAGCTGATTCTTCATCCTGTGGGCTCTTACATGGGTCTTTCTGCGATTCTAACATCTCTCATTTGCACTTTCCTTGTCATGGACAAATGTAACTCCTCTCTGGCTGCTCACTTTTAGTTCCTTCCATAGCCTCAAGGTACCTGCAAGTAAATCTCTAACTTCTTTCTGCTGAGGCCCTCTTGTGCCTTCAGAGAGTTCTGTAGAAAGGATCTAAGATCTCACTTCAGATCTCTCCTCTGATGGCATGCGTCCATGATGGCATGCGTCCAGCCCCTGAGAAACACTCGCACATTCTCTACCCAAACAAATTGTGGGCACGCAAGCTGATCCCTACGGGCACCTCTTCTTTGCTCTGCCATCAGAGCAGCCAGACTTTTGCATTTCTCATGGGAATCAAACAGTGATCCATTGTGTCTCTCAAGTTCCAGGGACAGACAGCAAGCTATTCACATGGCCATGTTGAAGCCCTTGGGGACATACTGGACAGTTCTCTTCATAATTCATCTTCTATTCAACCTGTTTCTCAACCTCTACAGTTTCTTTTGTAGCTTAGACGTGGACTGTCAGCTATAGGTAGAAAACTGGCTTCCCACAGTCTCTTTCTGCAAGATCGGCACACTTCACTCTGGTATGGGGTGTCTATTGTCTTGCAGCCTCAGCCAAACTGGAAACTAAAATAGTTTCATTTTAACATCCTGTCCCAGGAACCTCCCTTCAGCTGTCTTTAGTGATCTCTGACAAAACTTTTGCCTTGGTTTTCACTGTATTCTCTCCCCTTCCACGCTCACCATGCCGAATGAAGTTCCAGTCTTTTCCCTGGAGTAGTGTAGCTGCCTCACTGCTTCCCTTGACTGAGGCAGGTATTTCTACCTGAATGCTGGCTTCATTCCTAGTTGGCTTGGCTTTGGAACTAATGACACCAATTGTTTTTAGGAGCCCTTTCCTAGCCCATGACTGCTTTGAAAAATGGAATTGCTCCAAATCAACCAACTCCATAGACACTGTTCCTCACGCCCTGGGTGTTTCAGACCAGAGTGCTGTGTGTTTCATGTGTCCGGAGCTTCAGGGAGGGTGGAGGAAGCAGCTATGGCACAGTCTGCTCTGAGCAGCCTCCTTGTCACACGTCTTTCCCACCGGCCTGCCATGGGGTCTAAAAAATGACACCATTCAGGAGTTTGCCTTTAGATTATGACATTACCTCTTCAGGTTTGTTTTGTCAAAGTTCCCTTAAAGGCTAACATGCCAAATTATTATTACTTTCTATGAGGAATTAGTTTAGTACCTGTTTCCTACCACTGTGGCAATGAAGGCATGGGCATTTACAAGGGAGAAGGAATGGAAGTCTTTGTTGATTTTAGGCCCCATATCTGCCCATAGGACCACATCATTCCTAAACAAGATTGTATGGTCTTGAGTTCATTTGAACCAGGTCCTGCTCTGCCCTGAGGTTATTCTGTCAAAGCTGGAGTATTTTAGGCTCACTGCCACATAGTGCTCTCATGAGAGCACTTCCAGAAGACAGTTAATCAGACAATCAGAAATGCAAAGCCATGGCACATAAGAGATGTCAAAGGAGCTATGATGTTTGTGGTTGAAAATGGACAATTTGGGGAAGACATGAATTTCTGTTCCACTACAAAAAAACAGCAGGCCTGTGGATGTATTCTCTGTGGCCCTGAAGCTGGATTTAATTTAGCCTGAGGTCTTGCCTCTCAAACTCTAGTCAGGAGCATTGTCATGACCTGTCAAAGGCAAAAGCTCAGAGGCCCTCCCACACTCTTTAAACATTGATTCCCGCGTGTTTTGGAGACAGCAAAGTTTGGGAAACATGGATTGAAGGAACACTCTCCTAGATGGGGAGCTTGACAGCTGAATAACCAAGTGGAACTCTCAAAAGTTAGCTAAGTGGAGTTGACATTATAAAGACCTTTTTAAAGTCAAAGCATTCAGAAGTAGAAGGGGCTGCTTGGATGGCAGTAATCTCCCCATTATTGGTGACAAGTGCAGATTCCCATTGTTAGGGCCAGAAGGGGAAACTCTGGCAACCCAGAGGAATGGGAGCAAGATGTTCTCTCTGGTCCCTTCCAGGCTGAGAGGTGGCAGAGGACAGCCTTGGATAACAGGAGGTCAGGGTGCCCCAAAAGCCCCAGCGAGGGGGCCCTCCAAGGGTGAAGGTGAGGACACTAAGACAGAGGGCTCACATTAGAGCAGAGAAAGGGCTTCTTCCAAATTTCTTCCTCATACTTTTGAAATATAAACTGTCCCACCAAATGATCTTTCTCTTGTGTCCAGGAAAACCAGGCTTCAGACCTACTCAGCTGCCTGAATTCAGTCTGGAAGATAGTTCTTGGCTTGAGACCAGGAACTTAGTCATTTTCCTCCGATTCTATTAACTGATGGTCATCCTTGGTTTGTGTTTTAGGAAACAAAGCAGCTCTCCAGGTGCTGTAGGAGAATGGAGGCAGAAATGTGGGTTTGATAACATTTATGGTTCTGTTGGACATCATGAGATGAGCAAGGGGAAAATTTTACCTTACCTTTGAATATTAAAAAAAATCTCAATTATAACTAAGCTTTAGCCATTGCTTCTCAAACTTTAATGTGCTCAGGAGCCGCCTGGACATGTTAAAAAGCAGAGTCTGGCTCAGTGGGGCTGGAGTTGGCCTGAGAGTCTGCATTTCCATCAGGTGCCCAGGTGACATTGCTGCTGCTGTTGGTTGGGGACCACATCTTGAGTGATGAGTGTGGGCTGACCGAGTCCTGCTCACAAAGGAAAATTTATTTTAGGTTTTCAGCAAAATAAGTTTACCTCTGCTAGGATGATGCCTCTTCTGTATGTGTTGCCACTCAAGATAATCCAGTGTCCCATGGAGTTGACCATGGGCTGGGGAAGAAGAGAAGGCCTTGAGGGGGCAGAGTGGTTGGGGAGAGTAGCATGTGTGCAAATCTAGATGAGAAAGAGGATGTTTGCAGGGCTGGGGAGGAGGGTGGAAGAAAGGAAAGAATGACAACAGGCAAATTTCTCAGTGTGGACTGGCCACCACCTGCAGCGGGGTCTCTGTTCCCCAAACCCTGTTTA